ATCTTATCCTGTTTAGTTTATATAGATTCTATTTCTTGAATCTAACCTTTACAGTAGCTCTATTAAAAATCTGTACTCTCTACATAAAACTTGCCAAGCTAGCTTCTATATTCATAATTTTTCAGATTTATATAGCTCAAGAACTTATTGTAGATTTGTATTAACTAATACCAGCTTGTATATCTTTATATAATTTATATATTACACAAATGTCTCAGATCTTCTAGTCTTGCTAATACAACTATAGTTACAGATATTTTATTTTAACTGATTAACTGAATATAGTTAGTTATAATATAAGCAGAATTTTTGATTTTTTGCTGCTGATAAGATTTGAACTCTTGATCTGATGCTTGGGAGTAACAACTTGACTACTTTGCTATATTGCTATACCTAGTACTGCTAGATCTGGTTCAGGTCTGGTTTGGTTCAGTCTAGTTCAGAATCAAATTGAACTTAAACTCTAAATTTTATTTTCAAACCAAACTCAGATTCAATAATAAGTTTGGTTTAGATTTGATCTGGTTTAGTTTAAAGTTTACAAACTAGTTTAAGTTCAAATATTATAAACAGAAGTTTGTCTGATTAGCTAATATAAATCAATTGTCTAAGTAACTTATTTAGTACTTTTTAAGAAATCAAATATTATATACTAAAAGAATGCCAATTTTTATATAGATTAGAAAATAATCTTTAATAAAATCTTATTTTAGTATTAGCTTAGAAGCAACTTTTATTGAAGTTGCTATAAAAAAAAATTTAAAGGTAGTTTTAAAATATTTTTTCAAATATTACACTAACAAAAAAATCATTGCAAAAACTACTTGCAGTATTAGACAATATTAACTATACAAAAAGATTTTATTTTGATAAACTTTGATTAAAAAACAAAATACATCTAAAGAAAATTTTTATTTTTAGAGAACAAGAAAAAAACAAAAATTTATCAAAAACAAAAGTATAATCAACTTATGTTTTTATAACCTCTTTGTTCTATATTTTATGTTATATTGTGAGTTATTTTTTATTTTTTGTTTTCTTTTCATCAGATTTCTTATCATTATTAACTAATATAGTATAATTAATATATTTAAATAAATACAGTCATTCTCCTATAAAATCACACAGTTGAGCACATAGTAAATTTTTTTCAAAATGTGTTTATATAGAAGTTGTGCTTGTATGGAGGTCTTTTTCTTATAAATTAAATCATAGTTTGGTATAAAGATAAATATGATTACATATGGTGTGATTATATAGGAGGTGACTATATAGAGAGACAACTGTAACATATAGCAATATAGTAGTAAAATTTAAAACTATGCTGAGCAAAACAAGACAAAATATAATAAATATAAAACTGAGATAGAATTGAGGCTAAAAATTATTATACTGGTTATTTTCAAAACTAGCTTTATATATTTGTATTCTATTTCATTAAATAGAGAAAATTTTTAATAAAGTTTAAATATTAATCAAATAAAATATTAATTTATTGCTTCACTTAATCTTCTAATAATTAGTTAACTAAAACTAAATAGCAAAGATTTTTATATACAGTCAACCCTCTCTAAATGCATGACATCAAGACCATAGTAAAAAAGTTTAAAAATATACATTTAGAGAAATTATGCATTTAGAGAGATAAAAATCTATAAGTGTTATATTAGTTGAGCCCAAGAAAAGATATGCATTTAGAGAGGTTTTTCATATATATGTATTTAGAAAGGTCTGACTATATATAAGTTCTAGTATCTATATTTAAATTATATTTATATTATTATAAGTTTGCAATTAATAATTATTAAAATATGGTAAAAAAATATAGAGTTCAAAACCTAGTTAAGCAAAGCAAAGCCAAAATATAAAAAATATAAAATTTAAGCAAAGCCAAGACCTATAAAAAAAACAAATAGAATACCACTTTAATTGGTGATTCGCCAGTCACCTGGTACATTATTATAGTATAATGTAATACAGATCACTATTTAAATCACATATATCCAAATATGGCATTCACCCAAGAAAAACTTTTTTTCGTACTAAGTTAATTGCTTTTCTGTATTAAGTCAAAATTATAGAGCTCGTTGAGACACATCTAATGGTAGTTAAATCATCCAAATCACCTAGCCGATAGCAAGATATAGTCGAAAAATGATTGGCTGACTATGTAAAATACTATGTAAACAAACTATAGTTTATATAGAAATTTTCTATAGTCAGCCAATCATTTTTAATGATATCTCACTATTAGCTAGGCCAATTTGGATAATCTAACTACTATTAAATATGTTTTGATAAGCTTTACAATTTTGACTTAATACAGAAGAGTGATTAACTTAGTATAAAAAAAACTTTTTCTTGGGTGAACGTCACATTCAAAGTATATGTGATTTATATAGTAATCTGCATCACATTACACTATGATCATATACTAAATGACTGGTAAATCACCAATTAATATATATTCTTGATTTTAATTAATCATGTATTATTAAATTATCAGTATCTATTAATGCTATATACTATTTTATATCTAATTATTAATCAGTAGTAAAGTGCTATATAATCATATACTAATTATATTTAAATTAGATTTTGACTATCACTTAATTTGTATAGATACAAGTTCTTTAGCATAAAGATTTGGGTTAGATATTAAATTTGTAGTATATTTAAATTAGTTAATCATAAATTAAAGCTTTGATTATATATATTATATTTTGTAAATTCTTTAATAAATTTGAATTTACTAGTAATAAATATTCTTTTTACTTTAGTGATCCTATCTTTATTTTATATATCAAAAGTAGATTACAAAAATATTTTCAGCTAGCTAGGCTTATATACAAATCACTAAACTACTATATTTCTGTTCAAATAAAGATTCTCTTAATCTGTCTTATTATCGCAATAAAACTATAGCTAAAGCCAAAAATTTTATGCTAGAATATAACCCAAAAACAACCTGCCTAAGTAACAATTTTTTTCTTTTAGAATCCTCAACTTACTGAAAATATAAGCTACAGATATCAACAAATAAGATTCATTGATCTTGTCAGAATCACCACTCTACAATAGAGTACCACCAATCTAATAATACTTTCTTATAGAAAAGTAAAAAAGAAAAAAAAAAGGGTAAGAGTAAAATAAAAATAGGAAAAGTAAAAAAAAATATATATATAAGAAAATGACTAAACTATAAAGAAATCTAAAAAACTATTCTAAAATCTAAGAGAACTTGTCTACAGATATAAAAACCTGCCAATCAGATAAAAAACTATCTACATAGTTATAGAAATCTATACATAGAGCTATCTAACAAAAAGAAAATTATGAACTAAAATACACATACTAAGGACTAAAAATTATATACATATGACTTCGAAATATTGTATATCTCTGTTATATTGCTCTAGTTTACAATCTCATAAAATCTATCTTGAATCCTAGAATGTTGATTTTAAAGCCTCGATACATAATCACTGGTTCTATTTATAACAAGCCAATTTTTTCTAAAATCCTTTTACAGTCTTCACTTTGAACTTTGCTTCTTTGCTATACAAGATTAAATAGAGGGTCTTTCCTATAGTCAACTGGCATTATTGGAAGCTACTTTCTCAGGTTTGTCATATAAGATATTTATTTCTGTACAGTTAATGCCAATCCAAATATAGGACTTTCTATATACTTCAATTTTATCTATACAGAACTTCCTCTTTATATATGATTGTTGTATTTCTTATTCATCATATCATAACTTGAGACTTTCTGAAAATAGAAATATAAACAATACTGATCTTTTGAAGAGGGTAGCCAAATCCTTCACTTTTGTTAAAAATTATAAAAAAAGAAAATAGCAGAAGAAAAGTGTAGTTTTGCAAGTTTTTTAACCAAAGAGTGTTATTCCAAGAGTTCTTTATAGCTTTTTGTTTTCAAAATAACTTGAGTTCTTCTTTCATTTACTGTTTCCAGAGATTCTTCTAGTTTAAATGCTAAACACAAAGAGGAGTCTACCCCAAAGAAGAAAAAGCTTGACCTTTTTGCAAACTATCCAAAATACATGCTACTTGGTGTATTATATTTAAGATTTCATCAACAACAGTTTGTATTAAGTTATTTGTTTACTTCTGGTCTTGAGTTTTTTACTTGCTTTTGAAGACTAGTTGGTACAAGTGATCATTGAGAAGAGTTGTCTGTATTGAGTTGGTCTTTTAACTTTTTTACTAATAATAAATATTATATTTGCTTCATTTTATATATCTTTATATATTTTTTAATTAAATGTAGTAAATTATTTCATATATATTAGCTTATAGACTTTTTTATAATTTTTTTCATTTTCTAGCAGTGATAGAACAATAAATTTTTTAAAAATTATATAATTTGATTGGTTAATAATTATAGAAATCATAGGTAAATCTATAAAAATTAACTAATCAAATAAAATTTTGTCTATAAAAGCTAAGCCACAAAAAACCTTATTAGACTAGACTCAAACTAGGTTAAAATTTTAGACCAAACCTGAACTGAACTTGAACCTAACTAAAAGTTTAAATATAAAAGTTTGAGTTCGGTTCAAAATCAAACTTGACTAAAGTTTGGTTTGGATCTGATTTGTAGAAATACTAGCTATATCCTTTTATAGAATATATTTTTGAAAATATATTTTATAAACTTTATTATAAAAATTGTTTAAAATTATGAGAATTTTAATTCAATACATTATGCACTATAATGTATCTCTGATTAGAGGTATAAATAACAATTATCAACTAATTAAATCAGTTAAATTTTTTTTTCTTTTTTTTTGTTTTAATGTATTATATTAATTACTATTAAATTTTTTTTTGCTAGTTTCAGGTTGTTTTACTGTTGGTGTTATCTGTACTAGATTACCAGATTCTTTATTTGAAGTTAATATTATCGATTATTGAAGCTATCATTTAAAGTTAATATATTGTGTTATTGTTAATTATTGAAGCCATTATTTGAAGTTGATGTTTTGTATCATTGTCGATTACTGGAGCTGTTGTTTGAAGTTAGTGTCTTGTATCATTGTCAATTACTGGAGCTGTCATTTGGAGTTGGTGTTTCGAGTCGTCATTGATTATTGGAGCCATCGTTTAGAAGTTGTGACATGTATCATCGTTGATTATTGAAGCTATCATTTGGAATTGGTGTCTCATTTTGTGAGTTGTGAAATATGTGTTGCTATTGTTGGCAGTTGCTAATAGAACTTTGTATCATTATTTGGTATATTGTATAGTTGTTGCTTTTTGTATATTATGAATAATGGTCTTTGCAAAGGCTTTTAGTTTTGTAATAACATGTCATTATATACAATATTGTGTTTTCTTGTTTATGAATACATTATTAATAGTTCTTTTTTTCTAGGATGTTTATGAAATTTGTGAATATTTGTCTTGATATTTGGGGCGTATGCTTTTATTTGTTTTTTGTCTGTTTTTTTTCAATTTTTGAATGCATTACTAATACTTGGTTCTTTTTTTTTTAGGATTGTTAGACTTCTTGAAAGCTGTTGGGTATTTGTTTTGAGAATCTCAAGAAGTATAATTTGTAGATCTGTTGTTCTTGTTTTATCTTGCTTTTAAACGTGTTACTAATACTATTTTTTTGTTTTTAGATTTTTTAAAACGTTTTTAAGTTTTTGTAAGATTTGCAGAGTTAATGATTTGTGGATTTGAAATGTATAGTTTTTTTCATTGTTGCTTTTGTTTCGTAAATGTATTAATAATACTTTTTATTTTTTCTAGGTTAAGTCATCTTGAGCCATTCTTTGAATATGCCAAGTTTGTATATTTTTTTCTTTCTTTTGATTTTGTTTTCTTTTTGTTTTCTTTTACTAATATATTTTAATTATATGAATATGATTTATGGCAATATATTATATAATTAATTTATTATACTTGTACGATGCATTATATAATGATTATATTACTACATGATCGCAACTATCTAATCTACTCCAATAAAAACTCTAACCAAATCTAATAATAAAATTGATAAATCCAAACACCCTAACTCTAGCTAACAGAAAAGCAATAAAATCCAAAATACTCTAACCTGAATTAATAGCAAAACCAATAACAATACTACAAACGATTATAACGAAATTAACAATCTAGTATTTTCTACTTTAATAACAATGATACCAATGACAAAAGTGGTTTCATCACTCATAACAATAATACTAACAATGAAAGCATTGTATAATAGTATCAGAAAAGCAATAAGCAACAATATAAAAAAAATATATTAGTAAAAGAAAACAAAAAGAAAACAAAATCAAAAGAAAGAAAAAAATATACAAACTTGGCATATTCAAAGAATGGCTCAAGATGACTTAACCTAGAAAAAATAAAAAGTATTATTAATACATTTACGAAACAAAAGCAACAATGAAAAAAACTATACATTTCAAATCCACAAATCATTAACTCTGCAAATCTTACAAAAACTTAAAAACGTTTTAAAAAATCTAAAAACAAAAAAATAGTATTAGTAACACGTTTAAAAGCAAGATAAAACAAGAACAACAGATCTACAAATTATACTTCTTGAGATTCTCAAAACAAATACCCAACAGCTTTCAAGAAGTCTAACAATCCTAAAAAAAAAAGAACCAAGTATTAGTAATGCATTCAAAAATTGAAAAAAAACAGACAAAAAACAAATAAAAGCATACGCCCCAAATATCAAGACAAATATTCACAAATTTCATAAACATCCTAGAAAAAAAGAACTATTAATAATGTATTCATAAACAAGAAAACACAATATTGTATATAATGACATGTTATTACAAAACTAAAAGCCTTTGCAAAGACCATTATTCATAATATACAAAAAGCAACAACTATACAATATACCAAATAATGATACAAAGTTCTATTAGCAACTGCCAACAATAGCAACACATATTTCACAACTCACAAAATGAGACACCAATTCCAAATGATAGCTTCAATAATCAACGATGATACATGTCACAACTTCTAAACGATGGCTCCAATAATCAATGACGACTCGAAACACCAACTCCAAATGACAGCTCCAGTAATTGACAATGATACAAGACACTAACTTCAAACAACAGCTCCAGTAATCGACAATGATACAAAACATCAACTTCAAATAATGGCTTCAATAATTAACAATAACACAATATATTAACTTTAAATGATAGCTTCAATAATCGATAATATTAACTTCAAATAAAGAATCTGGTAATCTAGTACAGATAACACCAACAGTAAAACAACCTGAAACTAGCAAAAAAAAATTTAATAGTAATTAATATAATACATTAAAACAAAAAAAAAGAAAAAAAAATTTAACTGATTTAATTAGTTGATAATTGTTATTTATACCTCTAATCAGAGATACATTATAGTGCATAATGTATTGAATTAAAATTCTCATAATTTTAAACAATTTTTATAATAAAGTTTATAAAATATATTTTCAAAAATATATTCTATAAAAGGATATAGCTAGTATTTCTACAAATCAGATCCAAACCAAACTTTAGTCAAGTTTGATTTTGAACCGAACTCAAACTTTTATATTTAAACTTTTAGTTAGGTTCAAGTTCAGTTCAGGTTTGGTCTAAAATTTTAACCTAGTTTGAGTCTAGTCTAATAAGGTTTTTTGTGGCTTAGCTTTTATAGACAAAATTTTATTTGATTAGTTAATTTTTATAGATTTACCTATGATTTCTATAATTATTAACCAATCAAATTATATAATTTTTAAAAAATTTATTGTTCTATCACTGCTAGAAAATGAAAAAAATTATAAAAAAGTCTATAAGCTAATATATATGAAATAATTTACTACATTTAATTAAAAAATATATAAAGATATATAAAATGAAGCAAATATAATATTTATTATTAGTAAAAAAGTTAAAAGACCAACTCAATACAGACAACTCTTCTCAATGATCACTTGTACCAACTAGTCTTCAAAAGCAAGTAAAAAACTCAAGACCAGAAGTAAACAAATAACTTAATACAAACTGTTGTTGATGAAATCTTAAATATAATACACCAAGTAGCATGTATTTTGGATAGTTTGCAAAAAGGTCAAGCTTTTTCTTCTTTGGGGTAGACTCCTCTTTGTGTTTAGCATTTAAACTAGAAGAATCTCTGGAAACAGTAAATGAAAGAAGAACTCAAGTTATTTTGAAAACAAAAAGCTATAAAGAACTCTTGGAATAACACTCTTTGGTTAAAAAACTTGCAAAACTACACTTTTCTTCTGCTATTTTCTTTTTTTATAATTTTTAACAAAAGTGAAGGATTTGGCTACCCTCTTCAAAAGATCAGTATTGTTTATATTTCTATTTTCAGAAAGTCTCAAGTTATGATATGATGAATAAGAAATACAACAATCATATATAAAGAGGAAGTTCTGTATAGATAAAATTGAAGTATATAGAAAGTCCTATATTTGGATTGGCATTAACTGTACAGAAATAAATATCTTATATGACAAACCTGAGAAAGTAGCTTCCAATAATGCCAGTTGACTATAGGAAAGACCCTCTATTTAATCTTGTATAGCAAAGAAGCAAAGTTCAAAGTGAAGACTGTAAAAGGATTTTAGAAAAAATTGGCTTGTTATAAATAGAACCAGTGATTATGTATCGAGGCTTTAAAATCAACATTCTAGGATTCAAGATAGATTTTATGAGATTGTAAACTAGAGCAATATAACAGAGATATACAATATTTCGAAGTCATATGTATATAATTTTTAGTCCTTAGTATGTGTATTTTAGTTCATAATTTTCTTTTTGTTAGATAGCTCTATGTATAGATTTCTATAACTATGTAGATAGTTTTTTATCTGATTGGCAGGTTTTTATATCTGTAGACAAGTTCTCTTAGATTTTAGAATAGTTTTTTAGATTTCTTTATAGTTTAGTCATTTTCTTATATATATATTTTTTTTTACTTTTCCTATTTTTATTTTACTCTTACCCTTTTTTTTTTCTTTTTTACTTTTCTATAAGAAAGTATTATTAGATTGGTGGTACTCTATTGTAGAGTGGTGATTCTGACAAGATCAATGAATCTTATTTGTTGATATCTGTAGCTTATATTTTCAGTAAGTTGAGGATTCTAAAAGAAAAAAATTGTTACTTAGGCAGGTTGTTTTTGGGTTATATTCTAGCATAAAATTTTTGGCTTTAGCTATAGTTTTATTGCGATAATAAGACAGATTAAGAGAATCTTTATTTGAACAGAAATATAGTAGTTTAGTGATTTGTATATAAGCCTAGCTAGCTGAAAATATTTTTGTAATCTACTTTTGATATATAAAATAAAGATAGGATCACTAAAGTAAAAAGAATATTTATTACTAGTAAATTCAAATTTATTAAAGAATTTACAAAATATAATATATATAATCAAAGCTTTAATTTATGATTAACTAATTTAAATATACTACAAATTTAATATCTAACCCAAATCTTTATGCTAAAGAACTTGTATCTATACAAATTAAGTGATAGTCAAAATCTAATTTAAATATAATTAGTATATGATTATATAGCACTTTACTACTGATTAATAATTAGATATAAAATAGTATATAGCATTAATAGATACTGATAATTTAATAATACATGATTAATTAAAATCAAGAATATATATTAATTGGTGATTTACCAGTCATTTAGTATATGATCATAGTGTAATGTGATGCAGATTACTATATAAATCACATATACTTTGAATGTGACGTTCACCCAAGAAAAAGTTTTTTTTATACTAAGTTAATCACTCTTCTGTATTAAGTCAAAATTGTAAAGCTTATCAAAACATATTTAATAGTAGTTAGATTATCCAAATTGGCCTAGCTAATAGTGAGATATCATTAAAAATGATTGGCTGACTATAGAAAATTTCTATATAAACTATAGTTTGTTTACATAGTATTTTACATAGTCAGCCAATCATTTTTCGACTATATCTTGCTATCGGCTAGGTGATTTGGATGATTTAACTACCATTAGATGTGTCTCAACGAGCTCTATAATTTTGACTTAATACAGAAAAGCAATTAACTTAGTACGAAAAAAAGTTTTTCTTGGGTGAATGCCATATTTGGATATATGTGATTTAAATAGTGATCTGTATTACATTATACTATAATAATGTACCAGGTGACTGGCGAATCACCAATTAAAGTGGTATTCTATTTGTTTTTTTTATAGGTCTTGGCTTTGCTTAAATTTTATATTTTTTATATTTTGGCTTTGCTTTGCTTAACTAGGTTTTGAACTCTATATTTTTTTACCATATTTTAATAATTATTAATTGCAAACTTATAATAATATAAATATAATTTAAATATAGATACTAGAACTTATATATAGTCAGACCTTTCTAAATACATATATATGAAAAACCTCTCTAAATGCATATCTTTTCTTGGGCTCAACTAATATAACACTTATAGATTTTTATCTCTCTAAATGCATAATTTCTCTAAATGTATATTTTTAAACTTTTTTACTATGGTCTTGATGTCATGCATTTAGAGAGGGTTGACTGTATATAAAAATCTTTGCTATTTAGTTTTAGTTAACTAATTATTAGAAGATTAAGTGAAGCAATAAATTAATATTTTATTTGATTAATATTTAAACTTTATTAAAAATTTTCTCTATTTAATGAAATAGAATACAAATATATAAAGCTAGTTTTGAAAATAACCAGTATAATAATTTTTAGCCTCAATTCTATCTCAGTTT